ACATGGGCCTCGTGGACGCGTGGTAGAGCGGAGGGGCACCCGCAGAGGGCGTTGTCGTGTGCTCATGGGTTGTCTCCATGCAATGTTATCGTGCATTTTATGACGTTAAAAGTGCGGTGGTACTCTCCTCTTGTAGTGATGTGGTTCCAAGAACTTGTTGTCAAATATGATCGTATTACTTCCCTTAAAAACACTTATTCTTCCCATTGAATGTAAAGTTGGCGTTGGTATAAATTTAAGAATTATTGCTTAAATCTCTCCTTATTCCTTATTCTTCCTATTGACTTGGTAACAGACACATGCTCATCAAGGTGTATAAAGTATGTGTTTTTGTGTTTAAAAATTTTAACAAAAGTAAGTGAGAATTATTCTTGGATTAAGGCTTCACAACCCACCTTGATCAAAGGGGTGAAGCTCACACCCCAGGCAATTTAGAGGTTTGAGCCCACTTTGACTTATTAAGGGGTAGTTTCAACTATCTCAATATGTCACGTCATTTTTTCATTAATCATATAGTATCACCTCAACATACCACATCATTTTTTCCGATAATCAAACTAATTATCGCTCAACTCAACTAAACCATTTTCCAAATCCTATAAACTAACACGTGTATTTGAAACCTCAAGACCAAAAAGACATTAAACTCAAAGGAGTTCACTCAATCGAGGAGTTATTAAGCCAATTCACTAAAAATTCTCCTATCACATTTAGTCTCGAAACTTTAAATAAAAAGTCATTTTAACCCTCGCCATTATTATCATTTTTTTTTCTGTAAACTATTTAAGAAAAACCTATTAAAGGCACATTAATTCTTATAAGTGCATGTGAGAGTTGGGTTTTAAAAAGCAAAGTTGAAAGAAAGGGAAAACTAGAGCTTTTTAATCAAAGTAACACAACGTTTTCTTCCAATCCAAGAAGATTTCCAAAGAGGGTCAGCAGATAGAAGCTGATATCCTGCTTTACTATACAAATTACGAGCCCCATAGTCATCTTCATATGCACTTAGTGCCAAAAACTTGAATCCCCAAACTTTTGCAAGCATGTCACAACCCTTCAACAATGTCGTTGCTACTTTGCGCCTTCTGTTCGAGAAAAAAAAACAACGTTTCCATTAGAAATTTAGTCGTCTCCTAACTTTGAAAGATTGTGTTTATTTAGCTTCTAAACTTTGAAATTTTCAATTATCATCATTGAACTTTCAAATTTAGTTTCTAATAGATGCATATCCTCAACATTGGTTTTGGACCAGTGTTGATGATGATTTGATATGACATGACACAAAAAGACTTGGCCAACTCAATAATATAATAATGGACAGACCCAGATTGGATGAGCAAGCGAAATAAAATAAAATGGTAACCCATGAATCTTAGACAATGTTATGCATTTATTTTTGTTAATTTCAGGGTAAAAATCGAGTTTTTTTCCCTATTAAATCAGTGTTAAATTATAAGTTTAGTCTATGAACTTTTAAGATTGTGTCTAATAGATCTCTCAACTTTAAAAAGTATATCTAATAAATCCTTAAACTTTCAACTTTGTGTCTAGGATCATTAAATTTTGGAAAATGTTTAATAGTTCCAGCACACTCTCAAATTTTGTGTCTAATAAGTATCGGAACTTTATAAGTATTCAAATTTTGAAGTTTTAGGAAATCTATAGGAACGGGCACGTGTTAATGTCTAATCCACAAAAAAAGAAAAAAAACAAATGCCTACAGAAAAATCCTTGCTAAAATGTTAGCTAAAGGATAGAAGATATGTTTTGAGAACCCTATTCTGATTTACTTAATATTGAAAGGGCTTTTGATTATGTAGATTGAGAATTTTATTTTATTTTATTTTATTATTATTATTATTATTATTATTATTATTATTATTATTTGGATTCAATAGAAGAGAAGATCCATTAAAAATATTATATTATCGGTATTCATCAACGGAAGGTCGAAGAAGAATTTTAGTTTTTAGAGGTTGAAGGCGAGGTGATCCTTTTTCCTTTTCATTCCTTTTTTATTAGTGATGTTTTAAGTGGTCTAAAATAGGCCCGTCCTCGCTCAAAAGTGTCGGGAGGGGAAGGGAAGATGGTTTGGGGTCTTAAGTGTTTAATATAGTTTTATTTCTTAAAAAGAAAAAAAAAGTTGGTCTCGTTCAAAGATTTCCTACTAAATTTGATACAGATTAAGAAAAGGTTGTATCTATATATGTACACACACAACCTATTCTTATTTTTTAAAAATTCATCAACTAATTAAACATAAAATTGACCAAGATCTTGATCTCTTTTAATTTTGTATTTATAAATTTTTTAATTTTTTAGGAGAAAAATGTTTAATAAATTGAAGAGAGGATCTATTGGACACATTTTTGAAGTATAAAAATTTATTATTATATTCAAAAAGTGAAAAATTTAGAGATTTATTAGATACTTTTCATAGCCTATAAATCTATTAAGAAATTAAACCTATAATTCGATTTAAATCTATTAAGAAATTAAACCTATAATTTAATTTTAAATCGATGACGATCCAAACCATACCTCCAATGTTAATGATCATTGATCTACATGTATTTTAGTTTTTTTATGTCATATTTATAATTTTTTTAGTTATTATTTTTTATAACATTTTATCTAAATTATGCTAGATTTGTTGGTATCCGAACCTGGCACTTTCATAGACTGCAATTCCAGATACGAAGAGATACTCTTTTTCGCCGGCGGGAAGGAGGCGCTTTACTTTTAGATCTCCGGCCACCGTGACGTCCACCACTCCCACAAAATTGTAATGATCCGTTCGATTCTCGTTCTCTGCCTCCGCAACCAAACACGCATACCTTGTACAAAAGCAATCATTTTTCACCCGACCTTTTGAAAATACAGAAACCAAAACGAACAATAACAATCATTTTTCACTTGACGTTTTGAAAATACAGAAACCAAAACGAACAAGAACAATAATTTTTCACTACACGTTTTGAAAGTACAGAAATCGAAATTAACGTAATATTTAAACATTACTTATTACTTAAATAATTAAATTGTTATATGCAGAAGGCGTACCTGTCTGGAGGGTAATTCTGCAATCTGTAAATCAACGCTGCAAGCACTTCTGCCTGTAAGAAAACTGCAAATTTCAATGTGACTTTTATAAATTATTTTTTCCCATAAATATAATATTCAATAAATCGATATGTTTATTGATATAATAATAATAATTACCAATTTCAACTTTACCACTGTCTCTATAATTTTAAAATTTTTAATTTATACGTAAATCTCACAAATCATCTATACCGTTACGAGTCATTCTCTTATTGAAACAATTTGATATTTTTTATTTGGTTGATTGGTTTAGTACGAGTGAAAAAAAATTGGAAAAATGAGGAAGTTAAAAATAATTAAAGGAAATTTGTGAAGTTTAATGAAAATCATAGAATCAAATTGAAACTTTTAGAATCATATGAATTAAACAGTCAGTGACTGAGATCATATAGACTAAATTAAAACTTTGAAAACGATACAAATCGTATTATAACAAAGCTCAAATTATATGGATTAAATTAATATTTTTAAACTACATGTATCAAAAGGAGGGAATTACTAAAATAGCACAGAGGAAATATGTATTTAGTATATAGTATTAGGTTTAAGATTTTACGAAAATAGCATAAATGGAAAACTTATACAATCATATAAAACGGATCAAAAATTTTGTGACATTTTTGAAAAAAAAATAATAAAAAGTAATGATATTTTTATAAATACATATTTATTTTATGTCATTTAGTATAATTTTACAATAAAAATCTAAAGGTTATTTTAATCTCTAATAGTTTTGTGTTTTTCAAATTAGTTCTTGTTTAAAAAGTTTCGATTTAGTCCTTTCTTCTTTATAAATTTTCAATTATATCTCTCTCGTGGTTGAATATTAAAATTGGTTGATAACACTTACATGACATGATAAATACTTGTTGAGTTGAGAGTTAGACTATTGAAAATAAGAAAAATTAAAAAATTTTGCCAACTTAAAGATTTGTATGAGAAATAATTAAAAACTTTTCTTCCCTTCGATAGCCTAAGTACTCCTTTAAATTTATGTTGATTCACTTAAAAAAGCTAATTCACTTAATATCATAACATATAAGACACGTCAGAATTAAAGATATAATGGAAAACGTTTCTAAATACAACAAACTAAATTTGAAACTTTTTTAACAATAGTGATTAAATTGAAAAAACATGGCTAAAAGAATCTAAATAAATTAAAACTTTCAATCAAAATATATATTATAGTCTCTAATATTTGTGTATTTTTTTTAAATTAATCTTTATTATTTAATAGGTTTCAATTTACTCCTCACCATTTTACAATTTTCAATTATATTCTTCGGTCCCTGACTATTTTTCTTGAATTTCTGCCAAACTTACTAGATATTGAACTTCAACCTATATAATTGAAAAAGTTAAAACAAGAAGGACTAAAATGAAATTCTTAAAACAAGAAGGACTAAATAGAAATTCTTGAAACAAGAGGGACTAAATTGCAATTCCTGAAACAAGGGGGACTAAATTGGAAAACAGAATAGGCAAAAGACAAGAAAGCGACTGAAGAATTGAAAAAAAAAAAAGAAAAAAGGAAAATGAAGAGAAAATACCTGGAAGAAGTGGAAGAAGAAATCGTTGAAAAGAAAAACAGGTTCATGGAAAGCTTCGGCTTGAATTCTTGCAACCGCTCTCAAATCGTCTTCTTCTTTAATCAATTTCCTCACTTTCCATCCGTTCTCGCTCGCCAAATACTCGATTTCGGTTTCGATTTCGGCCGGGATTCCGATCAAGTCCTCCGCTGCCGCCGCCGCCGTGATCGAACCAGAAAACTCCCGATTACACTGCAGAACCACCGCCGATCTGGCCCTAATGCTTCCCCCGCTCCTCCATACGACGCCGCCGGACGCCGGAGCCGCCGCCGGGAGGAGGTGCGATGAAACTCGGGCGTAATTTGGGAGCAAATGGACCATTCTTGAAACCGCAGTTCTGAGTCGCGTTTTCGTTGCGTTGGAATTTGTTGGAATTTGGTTTCTCTGGTTTTTATTTATTTATTTATTATTATTATTATATGAGTAATTTTTTTTATTTTATTTTTAATTTTTATTTTGAGGTGATACAGTGAGAAATTGGAGGATAAGGTTTGGGTTCCAAGTGGCTGAAACTTTCTGGTTGTTGGCAGCCATAAGATCTAACCAGCCACGTGGAATTACTACATCATTTTATTTTTCTCTCTACAGTAAATGCTACTTTATATTATGAAATGGAATTTAATCCCTATCATTTTAAAAGACAGTACTATGGTAACAAAGTATTTGCAAATATAATTACTAAAAATAAAATGGAAGAAAATGTTCCAAGAGAAGTAAATCAGCCCCCAACACTCGGAAGGCCCGTTCCGAATCGAATTGAAAGCCAATCGAAATGAAAAATGTTATTTTTGTTTACTATAAAATTGTTCGGATCGTAATTAGAAACCTATTTATATTGTTTACTCAAATCGTAATAAGAATTTGATATTTTACAATTTCTATATTTATTTCTTATTCATAACTAAGTAGAATTACATTAACTAGAAACTGTGCTAATATTATTTTTAATTAAAATAATATATTTTAGTTTATTTATTACTAGTTTGTTAATAGTAAATTTTTTTATTAAAACAATTTATTTAATATTATGAAATAAGAAATAATTAAAATAAAATAACATGAACTAAAACCATTAATGTTGAGGATAAAACCGAGCAGGACACGGGTCGAGTTGCTAGGGCAATTACAAGGCGCGGGATCACAAACGGTTACGCACCGTACACCGTGGGGAAGGCGAGTGCATCTCTACCTCTATTGTATGAAGCATGCCGAGCACTACGACCTAGCACTCGCAGGCGGCAGGTTTCAGGCCTGCAGGCGGAGCGTCACTCACTGATTGTCAGGGGCAAACACTCTACCGTCAGACACTGTATAGCTCGGCACACTCCTACCATCTCAACACCTACCTGGTCGGCCATCCACACCTATAAAAGGGAAGGACTCATATCTCTGCCAAGTATGTGAAAAACCTGTCACTAAACCTTTAAGGTGTCTTTTCCTATTTCCTACTCTAATTACTGACTTGAACGTCGGACTGTATTAGGCGGGATACCGCACCGACGTCGAGTTTTCTGGTTGCAGGCTCATTTGCTCCTTGGCGAAGTCACTTGTCTCGGGGACACGCGGACCTCTCCAAAATTCACCATCAACAACTAATATAATTTTTATTAGCTCTTTTAGGTAAAGGAAGTACAGAGCTTTACCAATAGTTGAGACCCAATCGGAAGAACATCAAAAATTAATATAAATTATATTAAATTTTATTGTTATAATATTTAATAATAGTGAAATCTATTTTAACAATTTATTTACTAATAATTATTTTATTGAAAAAAATTAAAGAAAAACGATTAGTAGTATAAATTAAAATAAATAAAAAAAGAGAAAAATGTTAAAACAAAGGTTATGAGTTCAATAATAAATGAACCATAACATTTTGGATGCTCGAGTATTTCAAGATGTCCAAGTTTTCTACGGGAGGTATCTAAATTATTTTGGATGTCATTTTGAAACACGAGTCTCTTAGATTTCTCATTCATTCTTTTTTCATATATTTTCTTTGTTTTTATTTTTAATTTTATAATTGAGATAAATTAATGTAAGTAATAAACAACTTTATGTAATTAAGTATATTTATATATTACATTTATATATAAAATAAACTTCAATTAAATTATATAATATCTCCATTTATTTTCAATTGGAAAGAAATTACTATCAATAATATTTATTATCTTAAATATATAATTTTAAAGCAACATTTTTTAACGATTTACCTTTGATATTTTTCTCCATAAAAGAATCATTCACTTCATGTAACACTAATTATATAACACTAATTATATAATTGTGTGTTTTGGAAAAAAAATATTAAAATTGAAAATAAAATTTATATTTAAAATATTTTATATTAATATGAATATTTGTAAGAATATTTTTAGAATATTATATAAATTTGAAATATTCCTAAGATTAAATCAAGCAAAACAAATATAGATATTTAGATATCCTTATAAATTATTTTACGAACAAACATGACTATTTGAACATGCATAATATTTTAAAACTACATGTATATTTCCAACCAACTTCTCCCCTCACTTCTAATTGTTAGATGTCGAATTCTCGCTCTCTTTGTCTCACATTGATTTGGATTCGCGGTTAAGAGTTTTATTGCCCTTGAATCGAGGAGGTGGAAGAGGATATTGAGATTGATTACAGAACGACGTCGTGTTCTCTCACACCTGGATCCACTATTAGAAGAGCTCCCTCTTTGGTCTCACATCATAGCTTGCCCTTTCTTAGCACTCTAAAATTTTATAGCCAATAGTGAAAAATAAGTAGGCACAAAATTAATTAACTCGAGAAACATAAAATTGTTTTGAAAATGATTTCTCAAACAATCTTACCTTCTTTTTTGCAGAGCATTTGATTTAGGAACATCGTATATGTGAGCAGTAGGGATCTTCGGCAAACAAAATCCAGGAGATAAAAACTGCATGATAAAATAAAGTTCGAAGAATGATTTGAGATGAATATAGATGTTATAAACTAAACTAGAAGTTTGGATTAAAGAAGAGAAAGGGTTAATAAAAAGTTACATCTAGATGTTTCTGTATGGCCTTGGGCCTCTTCTTGGGCCTGGAGGAGGGTTTCTTGCCCAACATTTTCAAGAAATCCTCTTCGATCTCTGACCTGGACAACCTCAACTCCAGTCTCCGTGACTCCGACACCGACTCCTTCTTCGCCATTTTCGATTGCACCCTCTTTGATCTCACACTACCCTTCTTCTCCTCCTCCTCCTCCATCGTTGCCTTCACGCTTCCATTTTTGTTCCTCAATTTCCAAGGCAAGTTGTTCACCGTTGCTGGACGTTCTTCCGCCACCACCACCACCAACTCAGAAACCGGAGAGTCGCTAATAAACCTCCTGTGTTTATGTTTCCCCCAACTCAAACATGACGATGATAAAAAATCAATCGCCATAATGCGATTCGTCCCTGTCATTATAGCGATCACATAAGAAAGTTTTAGTTTAATAATTAATGAACAACGACAACACCGTTGAAAGAGAACATTCTCAATTTATAACATTGCCAATGATTTGTTCATTTACGAATCGGAGACTACTTTAAAATTTAGTCTAAACCAGAACCACAACTCAAAAAACTCATTCCATCGACATTATATTTTGGATCAAATAGCAAAACAAATAAAGTTAATAAATCTCATAGACACAGAATTTACCGCCATCGCTGACGTAAGCCTTCTTCGCCATCTTGGGACTCAATCGATCATATTTTGAACTCCCTAACTCTCCTATTTATAAAGAAATAATCGACAAAATTTAAATAAACATCAATTCTATTAGGACTAGGAATACGAAATTTGTTTATAATTTTTCTTTCACATTAGCAAAAAAATCATTAATTAAAATCGTTGGATAACATTTCCTTTTTTATTTTTCATTTTTAGTTTTTTATTAAAAAATTATTTTTTATAACCAATTCAATTTTCTATTTTTTATTTTTTAAAAATCATTTTGAAATTCTATGTAAATTTTAACTTTCAAAATCTGATTTCTATTTTTCAAATTCTGATTTTTTCTTCTAATACTAATTTTTTTTTCTTTTTCATATTTATCTCTAAATTTTTTTTCTATTTTTCAAAATCCGATTTTTTCTCGTGATACTCAACTTTTTTTTCTCAATATTTATCTCTAAATTTGTTTTCCTTTCTAACTTTCTCTCTAAAAATTTATTTTTCTCTTCTTCAAATTTTTCATATTCATTATTATTTGTCTCTCTCCAAATTTCTCATATCTATTATTTTATTTTTTATTTTTTTCCTAAAAGATTAGTTTCATTTCTCTAAAAAAAATTTAATATTTTTCCAAACTTTTTTCTCTTTAAAATTTTGTCTTTTATAACTTTTCTTTCTCTTTCTAATATATCTTTTCCTCTAAAAATTATATCTTCTTTTCTGGTTCAATTTTATTTTATGATAACTTTTATTTATTTCTGTATTTATTTATTTTTTATAAAAAATATATTTTGAACTTTATTTTTATCTTTAAATTTTTTTCCACTCTAATTTTTATCTTTCTTTATAATTTATCTTTTTTTTACCTATCTTTTCCTCTTGATTTTACTTTTTTTTTTTGTCTAAAATTTCTCTCTTTTTGTCTTCAACTTTCTTTTCACTAATTTCTTTTTCTAAATCTTTTTATTTATCTCTCTAAAATTTATCTTCCAAAAGTTTATTTACATCTGTCTGAACTTGTATTTTCATGTCTCTATATTAGGATTACAAAAATTTCCGTAGGGTCGGGTCCCAAAAATAGGAAATGAATGTCACCCTATCCCAATTCTATTTTTTAAATAATTAATACATATTTATTACACTTTTTTATTTTTTATTTCTAAAAATAATTAAAAACAATTATAAAACCGATAATTTTTCTAGAGAACATCTCTCGGATCGAAGAATGAGGTGGAGACGGGAATTAAAAATTTTCACGAGCACGAGAATACAGAAACAGTTATTAAACGGGTCCTAAAATAGTCAAAACGAGGATAACTCATAATTGACATATATCTCCAACCAAAGGTTATGAGTTCGATCTCCCGCCCCCACATGTTGTACTAAAAAAAATCATTAATATTAACTAATAATGAATTAGATTTTAACAATTTAGGACCCGATAACCATTTCTGTTTTTTGTTTTTGGTTTTTAGTTTTTTAAAAACAGGGTTGTTTTTTATTTTTGGTTTTTAGTTTTTTAAAAACGGGATTGTTTTGGTAACCAAGTTTTTTGTTTCTAAAAACGATTTTAAAATTCTATATAATTTTTTTTTTAAAATAGTTTTCAAAAACCGATTTATGGTATTCAAAATATAATTTTTTTCTGCTAATACTCAACTTTTTTTCTCATATTTA